CACCCCCGCAAACTCAACTTTCCCTCAGATTTTTCTGCCTCCCTGCCTCCGTTCAGTGTACACACACTAATAAATTCTGTAGTAAAAACCTTGGGAGAATTTCTCAGCACAAATGGAAAGAAGATGTCAAAGGCTGAAGATGGGAATTTTCTGTTTAAAGTTGCAGAAACAATAGAGGACAATTGAAACAATGGGGGGAAAGCCAGAGATGGGTGAACAAGCCATGAAAGTATTGCATTAATTTTCTTCTGAAGAAATCTCACTGGTTCTCTTCACTTGCATCCAGAACAGCTATTTTTGTTTGCAATTGTTTGTTTGTTTTTCAAGACTCTTGAGGAAAACAAAAGCATTGCAAATACAAGCGAAGAGACTTCTGAGAATGTTCACACCAGAAATGCTCTTGTGGCCTTTTGAAAAGTTGTTTATAACTTCTGATACAATAAAATTGTCAGATATTTATGAATACTTTGTATGAAAAATTTGTGTGCTGGAAGGATGACTTGATAGAAACAATGGTGTGTATCACTCAGGGAGAACAAATACCAAGCAATGAAAAACAAACTGGAATTCTGAACATGATGTGGACAGATAATTTTCAGAAAGTCCTGCACAGGAAAAGGAGAACAAAATTTAGTTGAGATACACAATTCAGTCTTACTAAAAAGCATGTTTGGCTATGGACTGTTCTTTCAGAGAACTCTTAACAGAGGAAAATATGCAGGGTAGAGGCAGGGGCCACTTCTGCAGCTGGAGATGGTTGAGGATATTGCCAGCAGTTGTACAAGGGAGACAGTCTAGCAGCCCTGCAGATCTGCTGGATGAACCCTCATGTGAGCGCACTCTAACTTGTTTCTGTTCCAGTGAACCGGCTTAATTCAGGCAGCTGATGCGATCTGTGCTGTCTTAGTTTCTGCCAATAGGCAGAACTGTAGCAAGCACGCCTCAGGAAAGTTCTGAGCCAAAACCCACCAGAAGCAGGGCCACCCTTGGGCATAAGAATGACATTGAGCATCTGAACAAAGGCAGCAACAAATCCCACAAGTCAACATCTGTCTACAGTCTCAGTCATGTCATGTTATCTATAATTTCATGCCTAAGGCCCAAGAAACAGGATTCTGAATGTAGCAGAGAGGGGTCATGCTATTTGCAGTTTGCAGCCAATAAGATATTCTGAGCCAGTAATGGCTTGATAATTTGAGGAGATGGAACACATGAGATGGAACACATGAGCACAGCGCTTCACTTGTGCTCAATGTTCATGATGAAAAAGGCAATAACAGCCAGCATTGACTGATTTTAGTTCTTCCTATCATGCAGTTATTGTGTTGCTGATAGTATGAGTTGGCAATTTCACCAGCTCGATGGCATGGATGTGTAAATTTTAAAGCAGACCTGCTGAAAATGTGCTCTACTGTAATGTCATGTCGAAGTACATATAAGTGGAGTCTGTAGCTAAAAGTAGACGGTGCTGCATGTGGCTTTTAGTATGTATTTGTGTGAACATGTGAGCTGGAGAGGGGCAGTCAGAGCTAAAGTATAAAAAAAAAATAGATGGAGGGACCTGAAAGGTGCAGTGCTTTCAGGGCAACACAAAGTGTGCAGGGGTCATAGTTAATTGAGCAGATAGTTTCCACTGAGCTAGCAGTGAAGCACTGTCCTTCCTGAAGGAGATGTAGGAATGTCAGGAGGCAAACTATGCAGATGGCAGGTTATGGAAGGAGAGGCATGTGCTTTAACTCCTTGAAAGATTTAGCAGCAGATACTCTTCTCTGGTATGCATCAGAAGTCCTTAAAACTAAGCAGAAAACTGGCTACAATAAGGATTCTCAAAGACTTGCCTTTGGTTGATCACATCTTTAATACACAGCAGACTGACCTTCCTTCCATTGCGTTTATGTGAACCACATGAATTTTTACAAGGGTTGTTGGTGACAAACTTTTCTTGTTCTGCATGCATACACACAGACACACACACTCGCAGACCCTCTCTTTGTGTTACAGCAGTGGACCCTGCTAGGTTGGATGGCTCCTTCTGTTTCCAGCTGCTTTCATATGTATCTCAGGTCCTTCTTTGTAATGAAACACCTGCATATCTTTCAGAAAGCTGGAGGTAAAGTCTGCATTATGTAAGCAGCCAGTTCTCTGCAGACTGATAATGTTTTTATTCACAAGATACTAACCTGAAAAGCTAGTGTTTTAGAAACCTGCTGGTAGCTGTATGGAAGGTGCTTAATAAAAATGGAATAGGAAAGGACCTCAGTGTTTTGTGATTCTATCACCTTACTGTTTGTCCGGTGATAAGTAACAAATAAGTAGTACTTCTGTAAAATCATGTTATACAAAGAGCTCATTTTGCCTAAAACAGTGTGCTTGAGTCTAAACATCAACTTCAGTATTGCCAAAGAAAGGAATGAAAACCCTACTTTTAGATTTCCTAATCCATTTTTCTTTGGCAATCTAAGACAAGGAGGGTGCCAAAATACATGACAGATTTATATGTCTCTGAATTTATTAGCTACACTGCAAAGAAGTTTTACAGTCTTAGGAAACTTTCATATCTGATAGGAGATAAACTATTGTCTGTAACTGAAATCAACAGAAATGTTGTCATTTCAGGCATAGTTTTGCTTGTATAAGTAGTCTGATTCAACACACAGGGTTAGCAAACTATTCAAGAAATAACTGCATATTGCCTATTATTAGTACAGTGAAACAGCCATCTCTAGAATAGCCCTGGCATTTGGAGTGAAAAATTGTAAGGAAATACATTGTTGGGAAGAAACTGCAAGTTGGTGCAGACCTGTTTCTTGCTGTGTCCCAGGACTTAATCAGTATCAGTAATGTGTCTTTGCTTTTGTTTCTTTCAGGGCCCTCCTGGTCCAAAAGGCGAGAAGGTGAGTGGATGAGTTCTTACAAGGTGAATGGAAAGCTCTTCCAGCATGAACTAAAGAGACCGTTTGTATTGATGCAGTGTAATGTTAGATTATATAAGAGAGCTGGGTAGCACACAGATGCTGTGTTAAACCTATCATCTCATCTTTCCACTTTGCAGGGAGATCAAGGTGATCAGGGCCCTCGGGTAAGCATCTTAAAAAAAATGTTACACTTCCCCTTCGCTGAATAGGCAATTAGTCTTTAGTGCAAAACTAAATTAAATACACTGTCTGAGCTAATTATGCTTATTAGCTGCATTTACCCTGCATGTTGAAGTAAGTGTCTGCAGGACAGTAATACTGAACATGACCAGGTAGTGTCTGGGAAGATTTCAGTAGTGCAATAGTAATGCACTAAAATACACAATTTCCATTATGGGTGGAAGTAGGTTTCTCAGGCATTTTGCTCTGCTGTATAAAAACTGGCTTTCCTAACCAAACTGTTTAGTTTCCCCAGCAATGTGTTCACGCCATGCATGGGCTTCTACTATGCAGAGGGCCAGTGGGTTTCTAATAAATGTCCTTCTAGATTTCATGTAAAATGTAGCTAATATTTAGTGAATTATAAACAAATATAATGTATGCATGTATTAGCTCTTTTTCCTGACATGTATGTATTTAATATTTTTAATAATAACAATATTATCACCTTGTAATAATATCCAAACAGTTCAAACATGATTTAGTTTGGGAAATGTAAAGGTTCTTTTAATTTCTAAATATCATGTTTATTTTCACAGAGAAATAGAGAAATACAGGTGTGAAAGTTAAGATAGATTGACTGTGCTACTTCGTGCTTCATTAGAAAATACTTGGTTATATTGTTTGAATGATATAGTAACTCTCTTCAGTTACATGTTTATAAATTTTTTCATAACAGTGTGTTCCATGGATTATTTTTTTCTGTTAACTATGTTAAATATTTTGAATTTGCAACTTTATTTTATTCTACTGTTTTGTTTCGTATAATTTGATTTAATTGAATTTTACTTTTTCAGTCAGTAATATTATCTAAAGTCACAACATGCTTTTACAGCTGATTTTGATGTTGGTGCTACCAGTGTTAACTACCAGGGTGTCCTGTTATGCTTGGTGATACAACTACATTTTATAAAGACAGTGGCCTAAGAATGAACAGCTTTAAATATTATTTCAGTTGAAACTCAATAAGAAGAATTGGAAAACTACTTCAAGAAGTAAAAGAAAGTAGAGGGTAACAATGTGAGGAACATTATACTCTTTTCTAAGCTAATTAATATACAGACTAAACGTTCTGAATCATGTAAGAATTACCTTTTAACTTGTAAGCAAATTCAGTATCTCTCAGAGGCCATGCTGGGCTGTATATTTTGGTTGATTCTGTGCTACAGAACTTCATGGGGAATGGGAGGAGACAGAGGACAGGGGAGGAGAGCAGAGCAGTGCCTGTGGCTTTGGAGAGGATGCTCCATTCAGATGACATGCCAGAGTCTGTGTGTGCTGTTCTGCTTGCATTAAGTGGCCTTACGTTCAGGAGAATGTGTGTTCTTACATTCACATTCACAACTGTGATCTTAGATTCGAAAGGACGAATTTTATGGAGGTATTGGAGAGGGATTCAGTAACAAATATGGAAGAGCAATGTTGTAAACAGTATTACATAGCTGAGGATAAGAATCTAGAATTACAAGTGTTGGAGAAGTTTCCAAGGAAAGACTCAGAGGTTTGAACACAGGAAAACAAAACAAGTGGGATTAATGCAAGGGAATGATGATGCAGAAATCTTGGCAAAATATTGGAGAGATGTAAGAACTAGAAAGTGATTAAGCATGTGTGGCTTTCAGTCCCTGGGCTGGAAATGTTGGCAATACCCAATAAGAAGATGCAAGTTTGTTCAGTGTTGTAGGTGGAACCTGCAAGGACTGCAGGACTATTGTGCCCACTTCACGAAGACATACCCCCTATACTGGAAGACAGTGGAGTCCTTACTGAACCATACCAAATGGTTATAGCTACTTTGTGGGTTTGGTAACTCAAGTGCAGATAAAAAGCAGAGAATTTGCGACCTAAGGAATTCATATATAAGGACATTACAAAGTTGTATCTGCAGCAGCAGCCATCAGCTGAGACTGAATTATGTATCTGATTACAGAAAAGAAGTTCAATAACTTTAGCAGTGGAGAGGAAGAGGCGGGGAATAGCACCTTGTGGGCTATCTGAAATTTCAGCAATATTTTAGTCAATGCATGTTGTAGTAAAGTACCTCCTTTTTAAGTATATGGGTCTAACTTGGGTAATTTGACCAGTGTTGTTGGTTTTCTCTTTATCTGTTTTGAATGTGTTCTATAGCAGCTTCTCCTTTTTAGCCTTGTGTATTTCACCAGTAGTGAAATACTGTGAAGCCTCTGACCATTTTATGTTTCATGGTACATCAGTTACCTCCTCTGATAACTAACTGTCTTCAGGGTGAATCTGCTCGGCTTGCCAGGCGATTTGCAATTTAATTAATGGAAATTCTTTGTGGAAGCCAGTCATGCACCAAATGAAACTAAACCCATTTAAACCTGGTTGGTTACCTTTGCACACAGTTTTCCATCATGCCTATGTAAAATGAATGGGTTTGGAGGTAGTACCATACAGTATTATTTTCAAGAAATATATTGTACCTGAAAGTAACTGAGGCATGACATTAATACTTGAATTTGACAAGTTAGCAGACAGATTGGAGGTAATATCTGAAAGCGGTGAACACTATAAATCTAATTCATCTTTTGCAGATAAGATACCTGAAGCTTCTTCGGTTTTATGTTTTTATATATTGGTTTGAAACATGCATTTAGCTTAACAAAGATCTTTATTGAACTGAAATTCCAAAATCACCCTTATTCTTTAGAAAAGCTGCTTTTTTCTTCTAGGCATTTTCATTAGTAAGAGAAATCAAAATAAAATGTAAAGGCTGTTCATGTCAAGATGAGACCTTAAACTTTTAAAAAGTTTAAGGTCTCATCTTGGGCCTTGAGATTTTTGAGATATCCTTCTTTCTGAAGTAATTTCAAAACTGTAAAAATAGTAATCAGATATTTCAAAAGTTCTTCTTCACAGCCAGTGGACATGCAGAATATATACTGAGCTGCTTTGAAGTTCAGGTTTTCTTAAAAATATCTTCAGTAAATTTATACACTAAGAACTTAACCCTGCAAATACTGCCCAGGGGTCAGGCACTTCTTAGAATAATGTGTCTGGGGTTTTGTGTTTGGGTTTTTTTTTTAAGTATCTAAGGAGTTTTCTTAAGTATTGAGAAGTAATCTGTGGATCAGTCTCCTTCATCATACAGAGATGGCATAAGGGCTCTAGTTCATAATGCCATGTGGCTTAATCTACTTATGCCCATACTACCTGTAGAAAATGTGAGCCACAACAATATTCCAGTAGTGTGAGTGATGTTGAAATTCATACCCTAAGTGTGAATTTGAGCAGCATGTTAGAGCTTTTAGTCACATGAGACCACAGATAAGGTACTGATGGATGCATTCAAATGTACCAATCTTATTTGACAAAAATTCTTTTTTTATCTCTTTATGTATTTTTATATCAGATCTCTAATTACTCTAAAGTTCTGGTTGATTAAACATTTAGGTCAAGTGCAGAACTAGTTTTCCTCAATACCAGTGTAAGAAATGGTAATGTTAGTATATCTTTTGGATACTCTTCTTTTTACAGAGGGCATGGCTTCTTAAAATGTTCAGGGATATTTCCTTTACTGTACTGAGCCATGACTAAATTAAAAATGATGGGGTTTAGCCTGTGGACTGCTAGAATAAATGCTGATGTCAGGCTCCTGCTCAGCTCCAGTTGCTCTGCTCTGCTCCAATTTAGAAAAAAGCCTTTGAAGATTTCATAATGGTAGGCTTGCAGAGGATGTATTATTCAAGCAGAGATTGTACCTTGATAATGGAAATAGGTCTTCAGAGGTGAATGTCTGAGAATGGATCTAGCTAGTACTGAGTGTCTTCTTGGATGGGGAGGGGAACATTGTCATCAAGGATGATTAAAAGGCTGAGGTACTTAATGCCTTCTTTGCCTCAGTCTTCAACAGAAAGACTGGTTATCCTCAGGGCAACCAACCCCATGAGCTGGTAGATAGGGATAGGCAGCTGAATAGACCCCGCTGTAATCCAAGTGGAAGTAGTTAGACCTGCTGTGCCACTTAGACACTCACAAGTTCATGAGGCTGATGGGATCCAACTGAGGGAGCTGGCAGAGGAGCTTGCCAAGTGACTTTCCATCATTTATCATCAGTCCTGGATAACCATGGAGGTCCCAGGTGACACCCAGCTACAAGAATGGTCAGAAAGAGCATTTGGGGAACTACAGGCCCGTTAGCCTGACCTAAGTGCTGGGAAGTTATAGAACAGATCATCTTGAGTGCGATCACGCAGCATGTACAGAGCAACCAGGGGATCAGGCCCAGCCAGCATGGTTTCAAGAAAGGCAGGTCATGCTTGGCCAACCTGATCTCCTTTTGTGACCAGCCGACCCACCTACTAAATGAGAGAATAATAAATGGATGTGTCTACCTGGACTTTGGTAAAGCCTTTGATACTGTCTCCCACGACATTCTCTTGGCAGCCCACGGACAGGTGCACCCATCTTTGGGTTAAATATTGGCTGGATGGCTGGGCCCAGAGAGTAGTGGTGAGTGGAGTTACATCCAGTTGGCAGCCGGTCACTCGTGGGGTTCCCCAAGGCTCAGTGTTGGGGCCAGTCCTGTTTAAAATCTTTATTGATGATTTGGATGAGAGGATTGACTGTACCCTCAGTAAATTCGCAGATGACACTAAGTTGGGCAGGAGGGTTAATCTGCTGGAGGGTAGGAAGGCTCTGCAGAGGGATCTGGACAGGTTGAATTGATGGAATGAGGTCAACAGTTTGAGTTTCAACAAGGCGAAGCTCTGAGTTCTGCATTTGGGTCACAACAACCCCATGCAGTACTACAGGCTTGGGGAAGAGTGGTTGGAAAGTTGCCTGGTGGAAAAGGACCTGGGAGTGCTAGTCAGCAGCAGCTGAACATGAGCCTGACCATATACCCAGGTGTCCCAAGAAGGCCAAGGGCATGCTGGCTTGGATCAGAAATAGTGTGGCCAGCAGGAGCAGTGTGCTGTACTCG